GCTAGCCATGTTGAACCTGTGTGTATCTGCACTTTTAGTGGGGATTTAGAATGGCGCCGAGGTTTGGCGCGCTTTTGCGGAGTGGCAGCAAACCAATTGTCATTTTTGGATTTGCCAGCTCCGGCTAACTCGTCTTCAACACCTCGCTCTCGAACGCTGACGGCTACCTGTATAGTGACGGTCTTGTCCACTCGACATTACGCCAGAATCGGAAGGGCGGCTTCGACTCTACGAGATCTGCTGTTGTTGCGATCACCTAGATGACGACAACAGACGTCATCCTCCAAGAAGGACCCCCCGGCAATCACCACCTAATATAAAACGCAAAATGAGCGTGGGTCGCTGCTCCAGCATCCACTTCCAGTATGGCTGCAGGCTGGTGTGATGCTCGATACCGACACCCTGATAGTACGACTCTTTGCCCTGCCCAATCCGCTTCACTATGCGTCTGTAGCGCATGAATCTACAACCAATGCCACTGCTGTTGCTGGTGATAAATACCAGATGTGCGAATCAATGAGCACCGGCAATGAGCGCACTGGTCAGTATGAACACGCAGGTGAGATACTGAGTCTCTCCATGGATGGCGGCCCGGGGCGGCCGACGCTCTAATGACCGTCAGTGCCAATTACAACTGGCTTATTTTTGGAAGCCATCGCCAAGCCCGATGTGGCTGGTCAACCTAACGCGAAGGCTAAGCAAACGACGTACACGGTGCTGCCCATGACTCGCACAAGCATATATTGAACTCATCGTACGCTTAAGTCGAGTTGGTGGCAAGCGTACCCTACCGTCCCGTTAGTGCTGCCGGGGTCCGCGGTGCTGTCGAGTAGCTCTACAGTGCCGACCTTGTTGGACGTGGTGACGGCCTCGACGGATATCATGGCGCCGATGTCGTCGCTGATTTGGAAAATCCGTTAGCGTCGATGGGGCCGTTCGCGTGTATGTCGGCATTTTTGGCGGCGGCCTGCGTGGAAGCGTGCAATGTGTGCACGTCTCATACGCCATGTATGTGTCGTTCTCCGTGCAGTCGTCGTCCCGCACAGAAGTCAACACGAACGATCGGCTTGGTGTCACAATGCCACGCTTCGCTCAACCCAACAAAAGTGTACCCACGTCCATGATGCTACCCTTACTAACTCAATAGCATGCAGTCCAGAAGTATCCCGTCAACAAGATCAAAACCGATCCCAGTATTCTGTTGACAGCGATGACGGGTATATGGACGTCATTATGACGTATTGAACCGAGCTAAAAAGCGCCACCAGCCTTCTCCGCATAGCTGTTGGTGAACTTCCCAGATACGACTCCCCGCTCCGCCATAGTAGCTGCACATGAGCGGATTTGCTTCGTTGGTACGACGACCATCACGAAACGTAGGTGGCTATGCGAGTGCATGACGGTTTTAACGACCGACCCGAGGCACCATTGGCGCGCTGTTGAAGCTGCGAGGACAACGATATATTTACTCGCGCGTAGGAGACGATTGTGTTGAAGCTGTACTACTGTATATAGCTAAACGATTTTTAGTACAGCTCGGCTTGAAATCTATAGCGCTCGATCAAGTTCCTATCGTTGTCGTTATTTCCTGTTGAGGTACTTGTAAAGTCTTCAGAGATCTTCTGGGGTGGCTCCGGTACTCATACGAGTAGCAATGCATGAAGCTTTGGATATACGGAGCTATTTCTTTCCAACTTCGCACTTCTGAGAAGCCCAAAGGGCGCGGTCTTGCGCGATCTATTCTGGTTCTTGCAAAGTTCTATATATTTAACCCTCTAAAGTGCCATGCAGTAAGGCAACATTTCAGCAGCTTTCACTCAAGCATTTGGGGTCGAGGACCTAGCGAGAGAGTCGCAAGCCTGATAGCTTTAAAGGAATGACGCAAGCGGGGCAGAATAACTGTAAAATAATCGATAGCTTACGAGCGACTCGTTGCTCGAAACACTCTGGGTCCAAGTTGCTCGCTCATGGTACGAGATAATGTGAACAGCTCTTTTTCAGTTTGTTTCTTACTTTCCTACTTCGTAAACATATGCCAGAAGACCGATCCGTGTTCAAATCGGTCTGGCGAATTCTTCGTCAGGATGGCTGGGTGGCCAAGCCTCCACCGGCCCGCCGTCTATCCGATCAATATCGATACATACGCCCCGGAGAGAGCCCGGACGGACGGAATGATGTGGACTACTTCTTAGTAGAGCAAGCGCTTATCGCGCACTACCAACAGGCATACATTGGATTCAAGAAACCCAACACCATGTTGGACGCGTGTGTATCATTACGTAAAAAATGTGGCGAAGGTGATTCACCCTGCATCCGTGATAATGGAGAGGACAGTAACTGCGACAGAAGTTTGGGATGACACTACACACAATCGTAACCGAAATGTTATCAGGATCACCGCTCTGCAGAAGAAAATGACCGTAGCGACACGGTTTGTCTACGTGATGGTTTTTATGGTGGGAATAGGACCATAGAGCGCTTGGTAAACAGGCCTCTGTGGTCACCGACACGGGTGATCTTTCGAGCAAATCGACGCCTGATTTATTGGCCACAGCCCCGAGCCCGGACGTTGCAAGTCGTTTTGTGGGTTTTAAGTGTGCTGTTTGCAGCTCAACATGCTCTTTAGATCGCAAGTGTTCAAGGTGTAAAAAAACAATGCATCACGTTTGCTCTTATAACGTGTGCAAGTCACTAAATACTCGTGGTGCAAACGGCAAACGCATGGAAGATTTTGACGATAGCTGCTATTGCAGCAAGCAGTGCTACCTAAACGCAATCACTGTATCTGATGTAGATTTTGATGGAATCCACAGTAAGGGCGATGTTGTATCTGCAATTTCATTGGATGCAGCTGGAACCGATAACAGCGTTCTTACTTCCACATTGGCGCTTGCCACGCCGACTTGTTCAAACAGTACGTCGTCTACGAGGCCATATCCAAAACGTACTCAGTCGGACTCAAGTCAACGCCAGACGGGTCAAAAACGACAAAGGAAAACTGCTCCAAATGCCAAACAATCGTCAGTGCTGAACAAGAAGACCAAGACTGCCAAACAAAACAATGCTTACGTGAGAAAAAAAGGACTCTGTTACAGACATGCGCGATGAGTTAGAACGTAGAGCGCGGGCCTCAGCAGACAAGTTTATTGATGCAAAAATGTTGTTTTATCTCCTGCTCAGCACGATCTCGATGCCGTGATGTTGGTGCTGCGTTTTTGGTGAGTATTGTCACGCGATAAAACGTAGAGAACGTATGCAATGACGATAACATCAAAGTTCCGTCAGTAAAATTTCAGCTGAGATGGACAGACACTAAATACCAGACATGGGAGCACGTGCACGGCATCGTAAAAAACGTTCTCGCTCGAGTGATCTGCCAGTTTACAAAAATGTAGAAGAACAAACTACGGGTGGGCGAATGATGGACATCCCTATGTACTATGGCTCCCAATTTTTCCAATCTGCCAGCATTAACTGAAGAATTTAAAGAAGTGGAAGAGCTAGAATATCGCGAGTGGGCTACGTTTCGGGGACAAAGGGGACTTCAGATCCCCGATAAGCTCCACGATAGTCGAAGCTATCGAAGCCATGACTTTTTCTTCAAGCCTCTCAAGTAGAACCACTTGGTTTGAATTCACAGCATGACGGCTCGCTGGCAACCGTACTACGAGATGGAAGTCGTGGGCTGTTTGGTCACTCTGCTACCTCTAGTTTTTTTTCCTCTGTCTTTCTGGAACCAAGTCGTAGTTTTTACGAATGAATATGCCGAAGCCAGTGGCTCCCCATCACGTCGAAGTGTGGATTTAGATAATCTCATGAAGTTTCTGGGGATTTTGTGGTACATGGCTCTCCTCGATAGGGGGGATGAGACATTATTGGCTTTATAATGATGAAGCAAGTATTTTTTCTGGAGCTCGCTCAACATGTTTGGAGTGTGTGATGTCTTGGAAACGATTTCTTTACATTTGAAAAAACGTATGTTTTCGATCGCAAGTTACGACATCCGACGTCCAGCGAGATCCTGCTGCACGAATACGACCTCTCGTTAATATTCTCACGTCACGTTGCACGCATCATGTGATTGTCGGTCGAAATGCCGCTGTCGATGAAGCCAGCATTGCTTGCAGGTCACAGTATGCCCGTCACGTTATAGCTTACAACCCTCGTAAGCCTAGTGGCAAGTATCATTTCAAGCTTTACGCGTGTTGCTGTTCAACGTCGTGTTATGTTGGCTTCAAATTGCACTGTGCCAGTGAGCTCCAAGACCGCCTGCATGGGGTTGTACCAGGAGCTGAAATACGAGAGCTACAATAGCTCACAAAACTGTCATCCGATATTCGCCCGCACGTCATTGAAGTCACGGCATCACTGCAAGGATCGCGACGAATTGTCAATACAGACAATTTCTATAATTCGTGTCTACTTTTGGAGAGCCTTTGAGCAATTGGACTGTATGGTCGTATAACAGTGCGGGCATCCAGTAAGGATTTCCCCCATGTTACTATGATTCAGCAAGGTGACTCAAAACCAAGAGGGTTCATGAAGCAAGGGGTTTGTCTTGCAAATTATGTTGTTGCTCCTAGCTGGATTGATGGCTCTACCGTCAATATCGTATCCAACGCTGGCGCGTCTACCTTTTCAACAGTGTACCAACGCATCCAAGCAACGAAAGAAGTGTAACGGGCCAATTATCTTGTCCGGCCGTGGGGCAGGTCGCACTGCTTCCACAAGTACTGCGCTGGGGGTTCGCCCTGGTTAGTCGCCGCCCGTACGGAACTTCCTCACTCCACTGGCCGACAGAACCCACTCGGTCCTGCGCCGGAACGTCCACTGAGAAGTGTCCGTTCCTATTTTATATTTACGCAACACAACCATTGCTGCACTACTCGCTCCTACTCACCCTCGTGTACTATTCCAAGCACTAGTCTTTTACGCCGCTGCGCTACTTCGTCGCCCGTGCGTTCCCCGCACCGAGCGCCACCCGACTCCTCACACAGGCCTCAGGTGCCTCTCAGCCCCTTGTTACGCCCTCCTATCGTCGGCGCTGCCCGCACGGTCGGCACGTGCTCCGCTGGCTGTAGTTTGCTCGCTAGCTGGTCGGCCTCCGCCCCTCCCTGCTCGCTCGCTCTTCCGTTTCGGTGACTCGGACGGCCTTCGTCTGCCGGTCCTCGTTCCCTCTTCCGTCTCCAAAGTGCGTCTTCCGCCACACACGTGTCAGGTCCTGTGCTAATGCCGCAGATCCAAAAGTGAGCTTCGCCCCACACTGCTCCCCTCCTTTGTTCATTGCAGTGCGGCTGCTGCGCGGTACTTCAACATAGCCCACCCCACTATTCCTCATCATCCATTTCGGCTTTCATGAGCCTGGCCACCTAACCAGCACACTCACGTCGGCCTCTTTCGTCCTTCGTTTCGGCTCCCATGAGCCTGGCCACCTAGCCAGCACACTCACGTCGGCCTCTTCCGTCCTTCGTTTCGGCTCCCATGAGCCTGACCACTAGTCAGCACACTCATGTCGGCCTCTTTCGTCCATACTACTGGCGTCGTATCCCACTCGTGCTGCCAATCACCTCTTTGACTACTGCACTCACGGTGTGCGAAGCACCCATCGTCCCCGGCTGGCTTCACGACCTTGGCCGCCAGCCGGCACGCTCACACATCGTCCACCTCCCTCTCATCATCCATGCGAAACCCGTCGTTCGCATTCCACGTGTATTGCTACTCATCACCTGACCTTGCAGCCATGTGGTCCACTCGACTGCTCGATCCATTACACGCCTTCTTCCACCACAGAGTCTTCCACGACTCTGTCGGCCGCGTACAATTCGTCGAACACTGCTCCGGAGACCCACGCGCTCTTAGGGGCTCCTGTGGCACACTCCCCTCGCCGCACTGGTCGCAACTCGTATTCGAGAACATAACACCCGGTCTTGTTTTAACGTCGTCTTCTTCGGACCTCCACCATTGCGCCACACGTGACTCGCAACGCCTCGTCACGGTCCATCGTCCTTGCCTTGCGTTTGTCCACTCTTCCTCCCGCTGCTGTTTGAACAGGCACCTTCGCTGATCCAGCAGTCGGTCTTGCTGCCTGGACATCTTCACGTGACTCGCCCGAATTTTCATACTCCAGTTGCGCCGCGATGTCTGCCGCCACACGTTTCAGCAAGTCCACCGAATAATAGTAGGTGATTAGGAAGGACACGTGAGCTATAAATCGCTCGGGTGCCCCGTTCTGATCCTCCCGTTCGACCAAGAAGTTCTCAAACCCTGCGGGTTCAATAATCTTCATCGGCCCCATCCATTGGTGGACAAATTTACTTGCTTTTGGTCCTCAAGGCGGTCGGTACATCCACACCCGATCGCCTGGCTTAAATGCACGCCGGTTCTTCACTTTTCGGTTGTAGTAGGAGGCCTGGCGGCGCTGTTCACGCTCCCGTGCACTCTCCGCTGCCTCGTAACTCTTGCGCATCGCCATAACTAACTGCTTATGATAGACAGACAGCTCTCCCACCTCCGTGACGCCG